GCATAGCTAGATACGGAGTTAGTTTAATCATAGGATTGGCCTTTTGGAAATCCTTAATTTTCATGCATCCTATACTCTTTATTAATCCTTCACTCTATTTAAGTAAAGAACTCCCGAAAAATGAAATTCATTTAAAGTTTTATGTTTTAATGTTTAGAATCCATTTAGTATTCAAATTTCATGTTCAGAAAACATGTTAAATTATAACATTTATTTTAATGAGGATTTCGTTTATTTTATATATATAAGAATGAAATATATATGTAAATTTGTTTAAGAATGATCTATATATTGAGTTGTTATTTATGTGGAAGTTATATGCATATGTTTTTTTTCAACTTATATATGCATATTCTAGACAATGTATAATATAATAGTTTCTAATTTTAATGGGTAATTATCTTATTTTAGAGAAGGATCTTACAATTTGTGGATTAAAATATATTTTTCCCAAATATTTTTTTTTTTTGTTACCTTTAAAGAACAATTTGATCTGAAATTCTTATAATTGCATACACAAATTTTTCAACTGAAGTAGTTACACTCAATCTAATACTTCCATTTTCTTTTCCTCTTAAGCATTTGATTAAGGATTCTAATAGATTCCACTAATCCATAGCAAACCAACAAGAATCATTTTAAAACAATATTTTATAATGTGATATATATGATTTTACCAAGCCATTTCATACTCATTACATTAAAATCATTTAATGTGTGAATCTACATGATGCAAAATATTTCTTTTTAAATCCAAAAACATTCCAAGAAACAATACAACTAAATCACTATATTTTTAACTCAATTTTTTATGGCTGCAATCACACATTTAAACAATATATCCAACGGAAATAACTAAGATATGACTATACCAGGTTCTTGATTCTATGTGGTACAATCAAAAATAGGCGAGAATAATTCCAACGGTTACTTTTACCGAAAGCTATTTTAATAGCAGTTTTACAACTCAGTAGAAGAAATGCAGCAGCGTCAACAAAAATTTCTGTCACCTTAAAATGAGTCGTTCCACAAGCACTCATTTAAACAATATATTGAATGGAAATAATTAAGATATGATTATACAAAGTTAACTGACTCTATATGGTACAACAAAAATAGGGGAGGATAATTCCTATAGGCACTTTTTCAGCAGAGCAAAGCCACAGACAATATATGGTTAGAACTCCTCCTTGTCAACAAGTTTAAGACCCCAGCTCATATCCTCACAATGCCTTACATGAGGAACAAGCGCACCTGTGTCAACTCCTGTTTTAGACTTGCAATCGTAGAAAGGAGGGGCATGAAAACAGGGCTCCATTGACATTACTCGATGGCATGGTGGATCAGGGGCAGTTCTGTTCTCAGGCTTGTAGAGGATCCATGGCTCCAGACCTCCAAGTCCCTGAGCTACGTATCCGAATGTTGACCACGAGCTTGTGACTAAAACATCACAGAAACTCAACATGTACATTTCAGCCAGAGCTTTCTGGTTGTGATTTTGCTTCTCCGATTGTTGATACTCTTCGTGACTTGGCTGATAAACACCTATTATGTCCCCTGTCAGAGTTGGATGTTCCCAGTACATGTCTCTGATTTTCTCAAAGTACCCAGAGGACAAAGATGTAACCAAAACAGCTTTTGTTTTATGATTTCTAGATTGACCTATGGCATGCTTTTCCCTGTCAATTTCAGGCAGTAGTTTCTCCTTCAAGGTACAAGCAAGGATCTGATCTAAAACATGCTGGAATGGACCAGTTCCAGTGTCAAAGACCCTGATTTGGATTCCTATCCTTTCATCTGCTCTAGCCAAATACGCTTGATAGTATCTAGTAATAAATCCCCAGACATGATTAGTGGGGTGGAAGAGGTATCGTCCCAGGTAGTGGAAAACTGTTTCTTTTCTTGGGAACAGATTACTCAGTTCTTCCTCAAATGAAGGTATCAGAAAGAGAGACGGAACAAAGTAATTATCTGTTTTCACAATCAACCAAGGTATTTTCTGGAGTGAAGTTTGTTCCTCATCGCAAAAGAAAAGTTTGTCATAATCATCATAATCATGGACTAGATGAAGATAAACAAAAGGTGGAATTATCTGTCCACTAGACTTTGTGAAAGTGTTATTCTTCAACATTCTGCCATAGCAGTGCGGAGATTTTTTATCAAAGTTGTTGAACTGATTTTTAAGGGGGAAATCTGATGGGAGAAACCAAGACACTTCTGGAAATGGTTCACAGAAAAGATCAACCATGTCAACTCCAGGATCCACTAATATAACCCGGTTTGTAAGGACAGCATAAAGAAAAGTTGATGCTAGAGTTAATATCCTGTTACCTAATCCACTAAAGGAAACCCACACTACATATCTACAATCTGTGCTTTGAGCCTGATCTCCAGACTTTAGTTGTTCTAAGGTTTTGTTATAGGATTCTGTATAGGGTCCACATCTTTTATGGAGAGCTTCATAACTTCGTAACCTTGAGATAAGGTAGGCAGAAGGTTTATGTGGTAGTTCTTTACGATATGAATTTGACTGATGCCTGCTGAGGCACGATCTTTCATCAAATCCAGTGGCAAGAAGGCCACCAAGAAGCTTTTCTTTCGGTAATTCAACAGGCTTGGAGACATCAGCTTTTGAATCTATGATGTGAGAAAGGAAGAAACATGAAGAGAAAATGTCAGTTTACTAACAGAAGTTGAGCATATTATGTAAATAATACATATTAAAGCATAAAAAAATGGCTATGGATGATGATCCACCAAAAGCAGGTAATGATATTCTCAGGCAAGAACATTATCTAACATATAAGATGGAATGTGAAAAAAGGAAAACTAAGCAATTAAAAATTAATCTGAGAATTAACTTTTTCAATCCTAATTGATCTCAGTTCTAGCAACCATGCAAAAAATCACAAAAGCAATTATAGATCAGGTGAGATTTTAAAACTATGAAGTCAAACAACTGTGATGCTTAACCTCATCACAGTGCTCCCACTAATTTAGGTGTAGGAATCCTTTAATGTGGGTTTGATCCTAATCAAATGGTAGTCTGTTCCCTATTTAACAAAACAAAACTCACAACTCTACGCTATAATGACCAAATGCATTATAGTTATTTTTCAAAAACCAACATTATTAAGCAAAACAAACATGGCAGAGCACATATAATTTGTGGAGCGGGAATTTAACAACTAAAACATACATCATACTCAAAGAAAGTGTCTAGAAATTTTTTTAAAAAAAGGATGAGATCTCAGACTCCATATAATTTCCCTCTGCTTATGCAAATTGACAAGAACTTCCATATAAGTTAATACAGCAACAAGCTATATCTTTTTATTCGAAAAAAACAACCAATTCCCAAACAAATTGACAGAGGAAAGATAATTTTCTTTCATAAGCCCCTTTTCAAGAGTAATAATCATATCTAAAAGATGAAATGAATAAACAATCTCAACTACTGTGAAACAAGCAATGCTTATCTAGAACTATCTATAATCAACAAAGAAAATAACAAGGAATCTCATTTTCCTAAATACATAAACATAAGCCAAAAAGAGTTGAGGACTGAACATCAAGCACACAAAAGAAGGAACCAATATTTCCAACTAAAAGGTGATTCATCATCAGGATACCTGGAAAAAAATTTCACTAAGAAAAAAAAAACAACCCTCCCAGGAAAGTTGCAATTAGCATAGATGGAATTAGCACGCCGAAAAAGATTCCGAACAAAAAGATGGAAAAACAGTAAGGAGCTCTAGTAGTCAACATATAAGAGAATGTATCGTAAACCAAGTGACAATCAATCTGATCACTGTCTTTGAGTGAATGACTAAATCCGCATTAGAGAACCCAGATGCAAGGTTATCAAAGTGAAAAATCTTAACTTCAGATTACCAAAATCGACAAAAACAGTAGCACATGGATAATAAAAAACGGAAATCCCATGAACTAAATCACTCAAAACAAGGACAGGAACAAGTACCTAGGTGGGGTATCAGTTCAAGAACCCTAGCCTCTTTGGATTCCAAAACATTATCAGATGGCGGGTCTTTAAATACTATAGAGATAGAAAACAGAACCGAGATCAGCATCAAGAGAGCCACAAAAATACCCATCAGCCTCATCAGGTTGAGCACGCATTTCCTATCCACATCTCTCGACACACTGTGGCTATCAGGATCCGGGTTGAATCCTGGATCACCATCCGAATTCTTCTTGACCCGCTTCATACATGCAGAATGCTCATTAACGTATCATAAAAAAACTAAGAAAGGCGCGATTTTGTTCAAATGGGTACAACAAGAAAGTTTTGCATCAATGGCGGATTCTTTTACTGAGAGCACCACTGAGACCCAGCCACTGGAAGGAAGAGGAGGGAGAAAGGAAACAGGATTCTCTGCGGTATGGTCCACGGTTAGAGTTCTGACAACAAAGCACTGATCTAGAGGAACACAATCACATGCATAGAGAAATCATAGTCGGCCAGCGAATTGATTTTTGCTGGGAATAAATATTAAATTGTATTTATATAATTTTTAAATATTTGAATTCATTTTTTTACTTTTTTTTGTTTTTTAATTTTTAATTTAAAAATATATATGGTAATTTTCATGTTAACCTATTTGTAATGCAAGTATAAGTTGTTTTTAATTAAATAAATTTATACATTAAATATTATATAAAATACGATGTGAAAAATATTAGTTTAATTTTTAATTATTTTTATATAAAATGCTTCTTATATAATACATTTTGCTTTTTTTTTAAAAAAAAATTTATCATTTATAAAAAATATTATTAAAAAAAAAGAATTATTTTATTAATTTTAATAAATTATATAAACCTACTCTCGTGCTATAACACCAATTGAATTGTTAAGCTAGTAAGCATGATATAGCGAAAGACCACAAGGGTACCAATAAGAAAAGAAACATATTGAAAATTGAACATAAATCTCTTACAAAATTTATTCAACTTCTATGTAAATTAGGTAACTTATGGTCAATGATTCAAAAAAATCCTTTTTAATTCTTTAACTCTTGAAATCCCTTTCGAAAATGTATTTTTTTTAAAATAATTTCTTATTATTTTTCTAAAACAAAATTTGGTTTTAAATTATCGTATTAATGTTTTCAAAATTAAAATATTGTGTTGAAGAAATTTTTTAAAAAAATTGAAGTTCTTAAGATAACTTTATTTAGTGTGTTTAGAGATGAAATTCTAATAATCAGTTCTCTTAACAAAGAATATATTAAACGGATGGTGTATCATACGAGGTGTAATATTCGGGTTTGAAAATCAGTTCGGGATAAATTTTTTTATTAAATTATTTATAAAATAATTATTTAATTTATTTGAATTTTTGAAAAAAAAATAAATTAAAAATAAAATTGAAAATAATTTTGAAGAAAATATGTGAAAATTTAAATTTATGCAGTGTTTTTGAAAGAAAAATTAAAAACACAAGGTTAAAATACAAATATAAAAAATTCAACTACGTGGGACAGCCTAGTCAACAGCCACGGCGAAACAAGGCGCGTCGCATGGCAAAATACGTTAATGTTGGCACCATGCAGGGGGCCAAGCAGGCGATTTGCGCGCCCAGTGATCCGACGGCCCAGGATTGATCCCGCACGCGTGGACGGCCCATATGCGTTTTTCTTTTAGGCTTGATCGAACAGACGAGATCAAATGCGATGAACGAACAAGATTCAGTCACGCCATCAGCCTAAAAGGGAAACGATCGAACAGTTTTCCTCGTTCCACGTCAACAGAAACGAATGACATGGATCGAAGAGGAGATGAGTATTTAAACTCCTCTTCGCAGGGAAACCCTAACTTTAACTGCCAACTCCCGCCGGAGAAGAAGAACCAAATGCCGGAGAAGAAGGCCGACCACCAATCGCCGCCACACCAGAGCCACTGTCGACCACAAAAAAATATAAAATTTTCCCCTACCCACTTGGAATTTAATTCCAAGCCTCCTTGTGGCACTATCAGAGCAAGAGGGAAGGCGGGTGAGTCGAAAACTGCAGATAACACCTGACAAAGTCGCGACGGTCAAAATCCTAAAATCTCTCTGATGAGCCCCTTCTCGTTTCCCGTTTCACACGATTCTTTAACCATTGTGTTCGTCGTTCCTTTCTATACAAGTTAGCCGAAGAAGAATCCCTAGCCGCGAAGGAGAACCGGTGCAACCACTGCATGCAAAGACCCCCTCCGTCGGTAGGTTCAGTTTTTTAATTTTTCTGGCCAACCGAGACTTCCTAACGTATTTTTTCTCAGGGATGTGTGTAAAATCAACCAAAACTGACAGAAATCGACCAGGCCGAGGTGAATCACCATCGTGGGTCGTAGAGTCGACGACAGAGCAGGCCAGCACCGCCATGCCAGAACCCTAAAATTGGCCATAAATGATTTTTAACACTAGTTTTGGATTTTTTTAGGTATTTTTTGGTACGTGATAAATATTTTGGGTTCCCACATGAAATATTCAAGAAATTCGGGACCTATTGGGAGTCATAGTGAACAGTTCAGCAATTCAAAACATCGATTCGGGTAAATATTTCTCATTCTATTCTCGATTACAATAAATTGAAGATTAATAAATATAATTATGCGTTTTATGAAAAATTAAAAAAATCCTAAAAATATTATAAGTCACTGGTGGAGTTTGAACTAATTAGTTCATACTTGTCTTGATTTCCTGTTTATTTTTCTGTACTGCCTAAATTACTTACTATTATACTGTGCATGTTTACACTAATAGTTTTTATATTATTTTTGATTATCTGGTTCATTTGGTCCATTCATGCATGATTTATCTAGTTATCTGATTACTCGGTTATTGATTATGATAAATTAAATTACTTGCTTAAATGTCATTTAAATTTATTAATGAATATGACATGAAACGTTGGTATGCACTTGGTGTTTGTTTTGT